ATTTTGGAGAGTCCTATTTGAAACAAAGGGGGGGCGAACGGTTGGGGGCTGAATGGGCGCGAGCGCGGCGCCCGGGCCGGGCGGGGGTGCGGGGCGCGGGGCTGGGGGCCGGCCACCGCCCCCTCCTTAGTATGCACACGAAGACCGCCGGCGGCGCGGAGCGGCGGCCAGTGCAGCCGCGAATTCCAGCGGCGGCGGCGGCACCTGCCGGCCGAGGTACGTGGCGCAGCCCCCTCCTCGGCCGAGCAGGGACCCGCGGACTGAGGGCGGCGGCGCCCTGTCCTTGTCCCCGTCCACGTCCCCGCTACCGCCTGGCCGATCCGGACTGCCCCGCCCGGCCCCCGGCGGCAGCGCCCTGGACTCTGTGCCCCCGAATGCGCCGGGCGGGGTACTGGGCAGAGGGCAGTGGTCCCGGGCCTCGCAGACCGGCGGGCACCGCGCCCGCGCAGGTGAGGACGCGGCGCGGGGCAGGACCCGAGGGCCGGGATGCAGGTCCAGTCGCGGCGGCGCCTTTGCTCCACGCTTTCCACAGCGGCTGGGGTTTAATTCATTGCTGGAAGCTTCCAAGCCTGTAAGGCCGAGTTAAGTTTTACCCCCGGGACGCGGCTGCGGATCCGCCGCGGGGTCTCGGGCAGCTCTGGCCGCCGCTGCGCGCATCCATCGCGGAGGCGCGAGGTGCGGTGTCCGCCGCTGCGGCTCCCCGCCCCCTCTGCGCGGCCAGCCCTGCGGAGCAGACGCGTCCGGGCGACCTTTCGGCGTCTTGGTATGGTGAGCGCTGGCTTGACATGGACATTGTGCGTCTTTTCGAAAGGTTTTTAAAAAACGTCATCTACAAGCCCGGCAAACAAGAGAGGGGTGGCTTCCTACCCCAACCCCTCACCGGTTGGGTCACCTTGGCGGACACTGATCTGGCCCGTGGGGAGCCAGGTCACTTGGTCTGTCCTGGAGACTTAATCTGCAGATGGCTGTGGTTCTGACCGTTAAAAATACATTTATCAGTGAAGAGGGCTCTAGAGAGTCATTAGCTGACTTGGAAGAGTAATTTTTTTATATCTTGCTGTCTTAATTCATATATGTGATCTTTGCTTATCTCAATGTTTTTTTTATTCAAAGGGGAAAACAGTTTTATGTGTAACATTCGTTCCAGCACCCGCGGTTTACCTGCTTCTCATGCCAAGGAGTGGGGATTGGAGATATCAAAGAGAAAGGAGATTAATCTTCTGCCCTCTGGTGTTTAGCCAAGCCTTCTCCTTGGTTTACGATTCCTAATCCTCTTGTTGGAAAAATGAGGAGTCCTGAAACCAGGAAGAGGGATCCATTTCTTTTGAATAAAGGAGTGCAGGCTCAGGCAGAGTCAGGCTAGGTCGTGGCTTCACTTGTGCAATCCTGAAGGCTTCAGGGTTTAGAGTGGTGCCTACCATTTCCCGTTAAGAGAGTCAGGAAGCATCTGACTTTATTCCAACACTTGCTTGGACAAGGAGGAATTAATCTGAACCGCAAGCACTGTAATCAGAATGTTAGAAGTCTTTGTACATGGATGTCCGTTCCATTGGGTGCTGCTGTTCCTATGAGATGAAATGAACCTTGGAAGATTCTGGTTATGATTGATGGTGTTTTGTCCTCGAGGCAAGAAAGAAATGGGTGAGGCAAGAAGACATGGAAGAATTTATGAAAAAGGGGGGACTGACATGAATAAATTCTAAAAGGTCACTTGTATGACTGTTTGGGGGAATTGTGTGTGTGTGTACACGTGTGTTACTAGGCATCAAATGCAGGGCCTTCAGTGAGCTATATCCCTCAGGGCTTTTTAATTTTTTGAGACAGTCTCATTAAATTATCCAGGTTGAACTCAAATTTGCAACCATCCTGCCTGAGACTTCCAGACTGCTGGGATTACAGGCATGCTAAAAATTCTTATCATTTTTGTACATGTAACAAATTGTCTCATGTAAATACATTGGTGGCTATAAAGGATTTATTCAGTGTAGAGTAAGAACAAACTGCTTGTTATTTGGTTCGCCGTAGCAGTGAGGGGAGGTTAGCTGGTTGGCTTTTGAAGGTAGATAGAAATGGAAAAAGGTTCACCTTCCACACCTCGCGGCTCCTTAGGAGTGATTGAATTCTTGCTGCCTGCAGAGACAGGATTGAGATACCTCCCAGAGAGCACACTCCATGTTCTTAGTCAAGCTGGAAAGCTTTGGCAGAAGTAAAACAACTGGGAATACACAAACTTTAATAATGATGATAACAACTCCCCAACTGCCGAGGAAAGAGAAGCAAGGACTGAGTCAATGTGGGTGGCAGGAGTTAGTGAAGTCATCCTCATTAGATGGGGAACGTGGTGATCAGAGGCCTGGTGTGGGAGGAAGCCATAAATATGGATGGTGGCATTCAGCTCCCCTGGCAGAGACTCTGCATGAGCATGTGCACAGAGAAAGGAGAGAAATGAGCCGAGAGGGGTTCAAGAACACTGACACCGACAGGCCTCACTACTTAGACACCAGACACATGAATCTTTACCTTTTAAAAAATATTGCAAAAATACTAGAAAAGTAAAGGGACCCTGAGGCTGTAACTCAGCGGTAGTGCTTGCCTACCATGCACATAGATTCAGTTCCGGCAAGAGATAAGAGGGTGTAAATTGAGGGTTCAGTTGAATTTTTCATAATCTGTACAGATTATAACAAACCTGGTGTGGTGGCACACACCTGTAATCCCTGCCACTTGGGAGACCAAAATGGGAGGATCATAAATTCAAGTCCAGCCTGGGTAATTTACCAAGCCCTGCTCTTCCCACCCCCGCTCCCTACCCCCAACCCCAGGATTAGGGATGTAGTGGAAACAACAGTGGTAAGCGGAAAAGGAAAAAAAAGAAGAAGGGAAGGGAAGAGAAGGAAAGGGAAAAAACACACATGGCTTCTGGATCTCCCAGTATTGTTGCTTCCGGTCACTTTCTCTCCCAGCATCAATGCTATCCTGACTTCCCTCCCTTACTCTATAAATGAAATAGAGACACTGTCCTTCCCATTCCCATAAGCACTTGGTGTCTGAGATTTCTTAGGAGGCTACATGTACGTGTTCACTGGCATTGCTGTTAGTGGCTGTACTTATCCCTACACTGTCACTGGACACTGGGGCAGCTTCCAGGATTTGAATGGAAGTCACAGTGCTGATATCATGTGCCTTTCTGGTGTCGGTAGGCGGGTGTGTCAGACCTGCACTTGGTAAGTTGGACCTGCCTTGCTGCCTGGGCCACACTGAGTGAAGAGTTATTTTGGGCTGCATACAAGACATACAGTGTAACTAATATGTATATAAGTAACAAAGCTTTAAGTTTCATTGTTGTTGTTTGTCTTTTGTTTTTTGTATTATACTGGAAATCAAACTCAGGACCTTGCACTTGCCAGGCAGGCTCTTATGCTGCTGAGCCATCTCCCCAGCCTAAGAATTTTTTTTTATATAACACTGGCATGTCTAATCCCCCAGCCACCATTTGGACCAAGGTCCGTGGCAAGACACATGGTCTATGACGCGTGGTCTTACACCCAACTGAATTGAACCAGCATGGTGCTGGGGTGGGAGGCCCACCTGAGGACTGTTGTTGGCAGTATAAGAGGCAGAACAGGAGAAGCTGCCAGAACGCCGTTACAAATGCTGTTTGGGGCTGTTGGAAGCTGCTAGAAGCTGCGAGTTCTCTTGGGCTGTTCTGCCAGAGGACCTTGTCACGCTGGCTTTCCTGATGAACTTTGGTCCTCACCTTGAGCATCGCTTCCTGCTCCAGAGGGGAGGAAGGTGCACTGCTCGGCCTCATGGGAGAAGCTCGTGGCACTGGCTTTCCGGATAGGAACTCAGCTTTCCTTGTTGCTGAAGGAGCTCGGGACCTCACTGTTGCTGAGGATGGCTGTGGTACTTTTGTGGGAACTCTGGTGCTTACCCTGAGCGTTGCTTCCTGGCTCCAGTTCAGATCCCTCAGCCTGCTAGCACAGATCCTTCATCCTGCTGGCATAGACTTTCCAGCTTCCACCACTGACCCTTGGGCCTTTCCAGCACAGGTTCGTGAAGTGGACCTGCATGAGACTTTGTTTTGGGCTCTAGGCCTCCAACTGGACTTGTGGGAAGCATTGTATGAACTCTAGGTTTTCAGCTGGACTCATGCAGAGTATTAGGATCCAGGCCCTCAGCTGGAGTCTTTAGTATTTAGTGTGTACATAGATTTCCTGTATTTGTTGTATATGATACTTTGGTGATTCTTTATAAACTAATATTATAATATGTATCCTGTATTATATTGTTCCCCTTGCAGAAACCCCGAACCATGACAGAGAACAAGGCAGGAATGGTTCCAGCAGTGAGGCTCATTTTTGCCAGATTGTACCCCAGACAGTCTCAGGAGGTGCAGTCACCCCTGGTTCCAGGGTCCCCAAGCCCCACAGCAAGACAGGCCAAGCTATGGGGAACATTTTACTGCTGGATCCTCCCTCTGACATTAGAGAAGAGTTTCTTGGGCCCAACTGCTTAACATTGATCTCAGCTTCCAGCCCTCCTGCTGCAAACAAACCTGTCACCTGAGCCATTGCGAAACTGTACTTCGTCCTTCGTGTAGACTTCTCTGGTCCTTCCTTACTTGGCAGCCTCTAAATTTCCTCTTAAGAATCCCCCTATCCCCCAGGGATCTGGAGGAAAAGCCCATTTCTCCTTTGGGCTTTCGAGCCGTGCAAGACGTTTTTGTTCTGTTACAGCATGGAAAAATATCAAGGATTAAGGTTTTGGGTGGCTTGCTGCTCCTGCACACACACAAAGTCTCCATTTTCTTTGTTTTTAACATCAAATTATGGCAGTTAAGTGTCGTGTGATAGGATTTGGTAGGCTTGATAAAAATAACAAATGTAAAAGGTCCGCTTTGATGGGATAGTACTTAGTCTTTTGAACTGTTAAGGCTATTTTTAAGACTGTGTGGTTTTCATAAGTAAAAGCTTATGTGTATTGAGATCTGGGTTTTCCTATTAAACAGAGAATTTCTTTTTTCCCGGCCACCTTCTCTTCTCAGCCTCTGCCTTTTCATTTTCTCCAATCTTGTTCTTCATCCCTTTTCTGTTTTTTCATAAACATTTTGTCTTCTTTTCTAGCCTCCAGCAGCAAGAACGTTAGAGGACAGAGACGGAATACCGCCTCCATAGCCTCATCTCCTTGCTCGTCATTTTCTGTAGTCAACTTCTCAGTCACCCAGGGCTTAGTGGCTGGGATGGTCTTCTTCCTTGTCTTCCTTCTATCATGGTTTTGTTCAGTAGATATATAACCTGAACTATCCTTATACAATCTTAAATTTTCTAGTAGCTACATTTAAAAATTATAAAGAGGGGGGCTGGTGAGATGGCTCAGTGGTCTAAGGCACCTACTTAGAACAAGCTAAGCTAAGCAAAACACAGGGACCTTGGTTCAATCCCCCAGC